AAAACTGGACACAACACTCGAGCTGTGGCCTCCCCAGTGCTGAGTACAGGGTCATGCTGTCCGGCCCCGGGGGGACTGAGTTTTGGGGGACTGGGGGGGTCAGTGTGGGGCGGCCGAGCCCCCTTACCCAGGCTGGAGCGCGTGCTGGAGCGCTCGATGATGGTGTGCTTGCTGGGGTTGTTGAGGACGGAGCGCTTGGCCAAGGAGATGTCGGCCGTCACCCGCGTGATGGAGATCCTGGATGGAGAAGGCACGAGCGGGTTGGGGGGGGCAGCCACCACCCCCCACCCCCCCACATACACAACTACCCCCTCGGACCCTCCCTCCATCCACCTCCTCCCACTCCACGCACGGGGCTGCCCGCAGCTGGAGCCCCAGTGCTCCTGCTCCTCAGGGTTGAGGGTCCCCCCACAAGATTAGGGGTCCCCCTGTGGTTTCTAGGAGTCCTCATGGAATTAGGGGGTCCTCCCCAAGGGATTAGGGTCCTCCATGGGATTAGGGGTTCTCCTGTGGCCTTAGGGGTCCCCAATGGCATTAGGAGTCTCCCCATGAGATTAGGGGTCCTGCACAGCTTTAGGGGTCCACCTATGGATTTAGGAGTCCACCTATGGATTTAGGGGTCCTCCCACGGGGTTAGGGGTCCCCCTGTGGTCTCTAGGAGTCCTCCATGGAATTAGGGGGTCCTCCCCAAGGGATTAGGGTCCTCCATGGGATTAGGGGTCCTCCTGTGGCCTTAGGGGTCCCCCATGGCATTAGGAGTCTCCCCAAGGGATTAGGGGTCCTCTATGGAATTAAGGTCTCCCCATGAGATTAGGGGTCCTGCACAGCTTTAGGGGTCCACCTATGGATTTAGGGGTCCCGCTGTGGGATTAGGGGTCCACCCACAGGGTTAGGGCTCCCTCTATGGGAACAGGAGACCTCCATGGGGTTACAGGTTCCCCATGGGTTTAGGGGTCTCCCCATGATTTTAGGGGCCCACCTATGGGTGAAGGTCCCCCCATGGTGTTAGGGATCCCTCCATGGTGTTAGGGGCTCCTCTATGGGTCCTCCCCAAGGGATTAGGGTCCTCCATAGGATTAGGGGTCCTCCTGTGGCCGTAGAGGTCCCCCATGGCATTAGGAGTCTCCCCAAGGGATTAGGGGTCCTCTATGGAATTAAGGTCTCCCCATGAGATTAGGGGTCCTGCACAGCTTTAGGGGTCCACCTATGGATTTAGG